TCACCTTTCTAAGCATAATAAACAGTTGAGTGGTTATGTAGAACTCTTAGGAAAACTTGAACTTAAAAAGAATGGCATACCAAATGATAGATATATTTACCTTTTAATAGATTAGTTTAATATTTAATTTATTAACCACCACTTATTTCAAAGATTTTCAGATTATTGACAGTTTATCAGAATTTTCTACTGCATAGTACAGATAGAAAGATAAATACACCTGAAACCATTTCTCTCTAGGATATTTTCCTCTCAGTGTCTATTTACTACAGCACACACTCATTATTTGTGACTAGTGTGTATCCAGCATGAGACCTCAGAGACCACATATAGATTGCTGAACTAGAAATATTTTTTAAATTATTTCAAGTATTGTTGTTTAATTAGTTTTAAATTATGTGTACTCCTTTCATTATTTTATGCTGTCGTCTGTTGTGCAGTCTTCTACAGCAAACCATTGAAAGGCTTGTTTTCTTCTAGACTGTTTTTGTTCTTAGGGGATTTTTAGTGCATTACCTTTATATATCTTATAATTCTTTAAGTATAAAAATTGCTGAGGACTCCTCAGCAGTACTAGAAATAGATTCAGTTGGCTCCTAACTGAGTTTGTGTTTTCCTCTTCAATCTCTTGAATATTGTGTACAAACAATACCTGTAAGACTGGAAAATCAAATCATGAAGCTTATACATATTTTTCCAGAACAAATTTTTCCCAACTAAGATAAGTACAGGCACCTACTACCTGAGTATTTGTTGTGTGCTGCAACTTTACCATCCTTGCTGATCTAAACCAAGAGAATTTAGTCTAAACCAAGAACCACTTGCATGTGTCATTGTGTGTCATCACATTGTATGTGTCATATGTGTCGTCATATGCCTACCATAAGTATCACTGAACTTATTTATTGAACTTCAGATTCTCCAGACCAGACTAACCTACAGCTAAACAGTATGCAGGCAATTTGCTTTTTTAGAGTGAACTCTTAATGCAGTACATTTTTAAACAGCACTGCCATTAAATTGTCACAGAACTGACCAGCTACTCCCATATTCCTTATGCTTCTTCCTTAATGGAGTTAGTCATATAAGTGGGGTCATCACTTCTGCTCAGTTTATTTCCTTGTTTCAGGTTAGGGGGATGAGTAAAGCCAAGGTGTCCAAGGCAAATACCCAACACCACACTCTGAAGTTGATACCTTACAATCAGACAAAATCCTAGCAGTAAACCACAGCAATATGTAGGCACAGTGAACAAAACAAAACATCACAACAACAATTAGGCAGTGTAAACTCTAATCTCTGGGTCAGAGCATTTGCTTTCACTATTTGAAGGGTCTTGTAGGTTCCTGCTTTGATTTATTTACTACCTTTCTAGAAGTGGGTCAATAAAAATGCCTTTATAAACATTCAACACCTACTCTCAGCAGTCTTAGTTGTCAGCATCAGTTGTCTACACCATGTACAATAAAACATTTTTGCCTAGGGAACTTCAAAACTGTGGTTTTCAGTGCATTTTTCTCTGTGGCTTTGTAAATAACTGTAACACGGATACCTCTTCTCTAGGTGTTTTATCTTTTTATTTTTCCTAGAAAATCAGTATTTATAGTCCAGGTGTGTGAAAAATCCCCCCCAGATATCAGATGTAAGTATCGGTTCAGATTTTAGTCATGAGCTTCCCTTTTTTAAGATCAATTAGATCTCAAAACAAGGTCTTCATCTTAAAGCAAGATCTTCGGCTAGATCCAACAAGGACTTCAGCTGTAATTCTACAGTCACAGTAGAAATATTTCTCAGAGGGATATATTGGTTATACCTTGAAAGAAAGTCACTACCTTCCCACATGCTCATCATCTACTCATGTGCTGTTATGATTGTAACAAATGAGATATACAAGTTTTCAAATAATAGTATATAAGAGACAAAAGTAATTGGATGCTTTTGAATAAAGTGTTCAATCTTACTACATAAATGAACAGAAGCATGTACATATACAGCACTACTTGTGCTGTGTACTTTACTATACACCAATAACATAGACCTGTCCATCACCATGAAAAATAGAGAAATTTTAAGGGCTATTGAACTTTTGTATGCCATCACATTACACAGGTGCTTTTCTAATTACCACACACTGATAACATTGTCAGTATTTAGTGATCACCATCCAAATTTCTAGTCCTGTTGCGATGATGATGCAGTATTTATACAAGGCTGGCAACAGGAAAACAAGCCAGGTCAGAGACTCATTTCTCATATTCTCTTAGTTACTTTACATTTTCCCTCCCATTCAGCTGGCAACATTGTCTAGTTTTATGTATGCATCATCTCTGTTCTCTCTCCCACTCTTCAGGTATCTCTCCTGAGCCAGATGACCTCCATGGGTGTACTTTATCTTCATTAATACATGGTGGTGTGGTGTGGTTAATTTGATCCAAACCTGAAGGTTTTTTATTTGGTCAGACTGAAGAATTTGGATCAAGCAAGTATTGAAACACACCCACTTACCTTGCTGAGCATCCCAGTGAGCATCTGTATCCTGCTGAGTGAAGTCCTGGTGCTTCCTGCTTTTAGCTTTCCTGAGTGGTTTGCATAATAAGCCATGGGAGCAGGAGAGGGGAGCAGAGTCTAACTCTTTTAACACTCTAAAAGTTGTTGCTCCCTTAATTTATGATGATGCTCTGGAATTCAATAAGACACCATTCAGTGTGAATACAGGCATTGGAATCCCATACTGTGCTACTAGTGAGTTCACTTTCAAGGTGCTGTAAAGCAGAACATGGCAAGTAATTACACCATTAAATAGAATAACTTGCTTTAACTATAGCTGAATTGCTAGAACATCTTTTTAATGTATTGTTTTAAAAACTTTTACTCATATATCCATTTCTCTTTTTCTTGTCTCAAAAAGGACTTATACAGACTTTCCAAGTTTAAAATTTTATTTGCCCTCTGTAAAAGCTCAGATAATCTTCAGTGATAGCTGTGACAGGTTTATTGCTCCAGTAATTTTTGCTGTCCAAGTGCAAGGGATAGCAAATGAACTGAGGGACACCTACCACCTGATAACATGACTCTGACTAGCTTTTACAGTAAATTCTGTGTATAGTCCTCAGATGGCAGAATGCCTGATGAAGTCCCACTTATTTGCCCATCTACATGCCCACAGGCATCGTATACATGTATTTCAGAGACCTTTCAGCAAGCCTACTCAATAAAATTTCAGTCCATTCCAAGTTTATAAGGGTTCAATCAGGCAGATGTTAATCAGTGAATTATGCATAAAAAAAGGAGCAGCCGTTTCCACCGTCTCCAAGATACTTGCCATAGAATCTATTATTCCACTACCACAATTGAAAAAGGGCTTAGGTTTCAATTGAATCTCTTTTGCAGTCTCAAAGAAATTAGGGCTCCTCTAGGCTGATACTTACTCTAATGAGCCTGAATACTGTGAAACTCTCCCTATCCATCCCCAAAAAGGCTTCTCTGACCATAAACAAGACTGTATCTCTGGAGGATTTCCTATGCTCTATTGATCTAAAGGTATGCTTTATAGTCTCTCAAGAATGGTATTTGTCTTTATATCAAGTTCAGAACCAGTAAAATTGCCCCAGACAATTTTATTCAGCTGATAAAGAACTGCTCATTTTAGGAAGAGAGAAGGACTCTTGCTTTGTTGGCCAATTAATCAGAAGCTTTTTATTTATTTCCTGTGAAAATTCTTCTTTTTCAGAAATCAGAAAGAATTTCAGAAATCAGAAAGAATTTCAGACAATCTGACAATTACTTTGCTTTCTGGCATGTCTAAAACAAGAGAATTCAAAGAGCCCTTTCCATATAGGCACTTATATTTAATTTTAAAAAATCCATTATATTTGATACCTAATTTAATTCACATACATGTCAGTGGAAAACTTGTAATTAACTTTATTGGAACTCAAGAAAGCCACATTTCTGGTGAAGTATGTACATACATAGAAAACCAAGTTGACTAGCATTTTTCTATGCTAGATAGTACCCATAAAATGACAGGAGTAATGCTTCAATAAGCATGCAATCTAAATTAGTCAGGTAAAGGAAAAGAATAGAGAGAGAAGGAGTAGGACATGAAGAGTACACAAGGACAAGAGAAGCCAGGGAAACACAATTCTCTTGCAAGTGTAACTAAAGATCATCTCTCACTTCCTCACTGGAGGTGATAGAGGTACTGACAGGTATTACTAAGACATTCAAAATAAGTGGCTGCAACTGTAAGTGAAAACTTAGTTTGCCTAAATTTTGATGTAGTTCTCTTACTTTGCTGCAAGGGTGAAAGTGCACTCACGATGTTGCTCCACTGAAAAAGGTAATATATGAAGCAGAACTCCAAACACACCATGAAAAGATTCATGTCTGTCAGTGTATGTAAAATGCATGTATGTGAAATCTACTAAGTTGATAGGTTTGAGAGATATTGTGACCATTTGCATGATAGAACAGATAAGCTATTAAGGATGAACTGACGTAATTCTGGTAGGATCTAAGTTACTGAAGAATAAAGTATAGAGATAAACATATTAATATATAAGAGATGGAAAGGAAAAAACAAATCATTGGGAATAGGTGAAATTGAAAAAAGATAGTAGCAGAACAGTCCTAATTGCATCTGTATTTGCCAGCATATGCCCAACATAAAAATTAAGGAAAAAAGAATGTTCATTACAACACAGAAATTGTCCTTATTCTTAATTTTTTCACTGTCCTTTCCTTGTGGCTGACAGAACTTCCTTTAGGGATGAAGGAGAGTAGATGGTGTTAAATTCATGAGTCCCAACTTATGATAATTCTAGTTAATTCAAAATATGATTTTTTCTTTCTGGCATGTCTAAACAGACATACTTCTTTCTTATAGGTTTTTAGGATTTTTGGTGCTTTTTAATTTAAAATAAAAACCTTTTCTTCTTAAAATCATATGGTTAATTAAAAAAATTTTGAAAATGTTTGAATATGATTTTGATTTCTGTGTTAACTTTTATTTTGAATAAAGCTGCTTTTAAATGATGTTCCAAGTATGCCTAGTATTTGCTTTTTGGTATCAAAGTGATTTCCTCCTTTGTTTAATGGTTTGCCAAATACTTCAGTTCTCTTACTTCTCTTCACAGTCCCTTTCAGTAGCCTGTCTTTCAAGGAAAAGCTGAGGATCTAACCAGTGGGACACCAGCACCACTGCATCCCAGTGCCAGCAAACATTCAGAGACTCACTGGAGAAATGGAATTGCTTACTGCAGGTGGTTTCATCATGCAGTATTAAGAGTTTAAATCACTAAAGGGCAAACCACAACCTTTCTCTGCGTGTCTGTGAAGGCAACAGAACTGCCAAATACTGAGTAAAGTGAGCAGCGCTGTATTTTAATGACCATCTGAAATCTCCAGTTAATTCCCTGAGTTTTTAGAGAACCATGAGATCTTTGACACTTCACTGAAAAAATATATTGCTTTTGAATTATTTTATAAAACTTTCCTTGATCATGGGCTAGAAAATGCAGGTTTTCTTTGTTTTCTAGGTTTTGTTTTTCCCTTGTTTTCATTACCTCCATAAGTTGATGAGTTTTTCTGGTGACATTCCTTTTTTCTCTTGTGAGAAAAGGACCTGTAAACTGTTTTTATTTGTTTTGATTCAAAAAACATCCTTGTCTTTCTCTTGACATGATATAGCATTGCCATCTATTTGACCCAACTAAATAAGAAAAACCCATTAACCTGCAAAGGAAATTTTAGCAGGGTTTCAGGACACTTGGCACAGAAGAGAATTGAGCTGCTCTTTAAATTTGGAGTTTTACAGATATACTATTCAAAATACAATAAAAAACATGACATAAACTCAGGAGCAATGAAATACTGGTCTCAGCTCTAGGTTTCTGAAGCCAGAGCACCAGGGTGGTGGTGGCTGACAATTGCTACAAGAGTTAAAGCATTCCATCACTCTCATTGTATCTTACCAGACAGAAACCAGTAAAGCTTTATACCACAAGAATTTTAGGACTTCTGCTCAAAGAGTACAAACAGAAACACTACAAATTAGGTAGCAAATCTTGACTAAAGATGACTTCTGGTTGAAGGATGCTGCAAGCCATGGTTGGTTAGCTTTCTTCTCGGGCCACGTTTGATGTTACTTGTCAAGTCTCAGACACAGAGAACTGGGGAGGGAAAGGAGACAGAGAGAGAGAGAGCTGCAATTAAAAATAGGTATTTTCTAAACTGCAGACTTGTATTTTTATAGCAGGTATATTCTTCAGTTCAGACCTTTCCCAGGGTGAAAGGAATTGGTTATTTCTCGTACAATTTAGCCTATGTCAGGAGGGCTATTTTAACTGCAAAGAGAAATATGTGAAACTGTCAGCTGCAGACCTTTAATTCCCAGGCTTATTTTTGTAAACAATGATGCCATATTTTTACGGCACACTCCCTTTCACAGAGATATAAAGATCAAAAATGAATCTTTCATTTTGTATAACTCTTCCACACAAGCATAGCTCTTCCAGAAATATAATAATAAAAACCCCAAAGTGGTAAACAACGTTCACAGAGGGAATATAGTTTAAGAAATTCACACAGTATACAAACATGTAATGGTACAAAACCTGCAACATGAGTTTTTTGTTACATTTTAACAGTGTTTCCTCAAATCTTCAAAGCTTGCTTGATGGTTTGCTGAAGTAATTGAACCACTCTTGAGTTGCTTTATATAGGACATCTTATCTTTCTTTCATTACCCAGTCCGTGGCTTCTTTTCTATTCCCATGAAATCCATGTACACACTTTAGAAGCCCTCCTGAACAAGCTTGCTTCTAACTTTCACAGAGCCCTTAGCACAATTTGAATACGAAAGAGATACTGAATAAAAAGCTTTAATCTCTTGTCTGCTATTCTTCTTTCTTGCCTCTTCATCTCCCCCACCTCCTCTGCCCCCTCCCCCTTCTTCCAAGAGCTTTTCTGTGTTAGTAAAGTGAACACTTTCTGTGTTAAGTAAGTGTAATGCTGCTGAAGATGCATTGGGAGAGTGAAACCAAAAGCCTGGCCTATGAAGCCTCTTTGCCACAATTTAGCAATAATTGTACTGCATTTACTTGCTCTTGAACTTTTTGCAGGTAAAAGATTGGTAAAGAGCTCTCCTTAACAAAATCACTCAATCAGTAGCAAGCATAGGTAGTATCAAATGTGCCCTCTACCTCAAATACTGTGGGGCTCTTTCTTCTGATACCTCTTCCCTCAGTTAACTGGAACTGCTTTGAAAGGGCTTTCTGTTCTCTGCTCTCTTGTCAATTTGAATGCCAGGAAATGAGCCCCCTTTGTGAGATTAATTAATAGCAGGAGCTGATCGGCCCAAGCCCAATTGCCACGCAACAGAGCTGTAATTGCTACTTTGTGGAAAGGAAAGAAAAAGTTTTGGTTGCAGTTTAAGAAGAGGGTTTAAGGAAAGTTCTTTGAACTAGAGGTCTCAGTGCACTGGATTAAGGCAAGAAGCAAGGATGCCTTTGAAGTTTGTTAAGAGGTTTTGGAGGAGAAAAAAGTTGGGTGGCAAATGGGAGCTGGCAACATCAAAAGCATTTAACACCATTCCTCACCTGCTTGTATTCAGAGCAGGGACCACAGGCTGGAAGCATCATTTGCTTGCAGTTTAAGTGGTCACTTTGGGGCTCTATTTGTTTTGATCGGAAACTGTACCATGTATACATCATTATGTGTATAAGGCTTGTTACACCTGGATGTACAAGAGCTGCATGTACCCTGTTACATGAACATGCATATGCATTACATGTAGATGTACCCACAATCATGGAGTTCAAGGTAATAATTGACATCTGTCAGTTTTCCTCTTACCACGTCTCTAATTGCTATTTTGTTTATTATTTGTGCATTGATATAATAGTAGTCACGGATTACTGATATTGCTGGTCCCTCAGTTGATTAAAAGACTTAGTAGATGCAGGTTTTTCTAAATTATTCCAAGCATTACAAACACATATATTAGGCAATATTTCAAAAGTTAAGGTCATCTTCGGACAAAATTTGACCAACGGAGAGTGGACAGAAGTACCTTGCAAATGCCAAGGCCAAAAGCAGGCATGGCAGAAATCTTTTCATGATCTGGAAATACAAACTCTGCGACAAATTAACATCCCTTAATCTTTTTAACATGTAATGGTAAGGGTGAGACTCCATAAGCAGAACACAGCTCTGAATCCAGCAGGGCAATGATCCTGGAAAACTGCCCTAATGGAGGCTGGAGAATTACCTTGGAGCCAGGGGATCCTCAAGTGCAGAGGAGCCAAGGATCTGTTCTGACTCCACCGTACTGCAGACCCCATGGCCAGAGCCCATATATAATGGTAACATTCTCAGAGGCACAAAACTACCTTGAAGGATGCTACTAGCCAGTGGAGCTTAGAGCAGCCTTGAGGTGTTCTGAATTGCACAGATGAGCCACTGTCAGCCCTGGAATGCAGACAGGGCAAAGGTGGGGAAAATCTACTTTTCTGCATTTCCTCAGCATTTGCCATTTACATCATCACAGTCCACAGGTCAAATTCACATCTCGTGTGATCTGAACATAGCTAGGGCCTTATGGAGGATGAATTTGGCCCTGGATCTATATTCTCTTAATAATAGGACAGGGCTGCAAATTAGGCCACACAGGTCTTGCCACAAACTTGGTGAAGTTCTTTAAACCACTTCCTTTTAGAGGATGGTGACAGTTTTGTTTTGTTTTAGTTTTTTGTTTTTTTTTTTTTTTTTTTTTTTTTTTTTTTTTTTTTTTGCTTTCTATTTCTACAGAAGCAAGTAGAAAGGACTTCTACCACTGAAATGGTGTTTCTAGTCAAATATTCAATCCTCTCAACAAGTAGGTGTTTATGCTGTCAATTTGGGTGGTGGAATGAAATTTCAGAGTGGTATCAGTTTGAAAATCATTCAGGTCTCATCTATCTTCCTTACAGTTTAGGAATAATAAGGAAAAAGGGGTTTATTACATTTAAAAAATTCCCAGGGTCAGCAGTTTTGTATAATTTCCTCTTTTCAATCTTGTGTATAAGAATAAAACAGAAAACTAAATGTGCCTTCAAATAAATGTCAGTAGGTATTTGAACTCTGTCTACACCTCTCAGTCTAACCCTTTGAGATGGTATTTGATCAGCAATTTTTCTTCTCTCACCTTCCAGTTCACTGCAGTACTTTAAAAGTTACAATTAAAAGATAATGTGAAATGAAGGCTTGCTGAAACAAAAATCCAGACAGAAAAACATTTTAATGATGAAGGCTTTAGTAAGATTACAAATTAAATATTGAAAAAGCAAAAACAAAACAACAACAAATAGCAACAGAAAAACGAAACCAAAAAACTGAAACTAAACAACAGTAAGAAAAAGCCCCAAATCAACAAAAAAAAAAAAAAGACAAGCCATTTTAGGTAGGATTCAGAATCCTTTGCCTTCTCCAGCCTCAAGTGGACTCCCACTGCCTATGAAACACTAATCTGCCCCTCTAAGACAGGTGGGACAATTTGCATGGCTGTCTCTTTCCAGCGTCTATAAAGACAGCCTGTCCGCCTGACTTAAGGGAGCATGTCTTGAAGAAGTTGAGGCTGGGCAGTAGCAAGCCTTCACGTCATGGTTAAGAGAGAGCTTTCCAAACACTGACTGATGCACTGGAAAGAGGCATTCTGTGATTCATGTTCATTAATGGCCAATACATTTTAGTTTATTTTTGTAACTGCTTAGAAGAGCACCAAGTCAGATGCAGCATAAACAGTATCACCAGACAGAGCGCAGTAAACCTTCATGTTGTAGTCCATTTCCAATAGATCCAGGCATCAGTTTGTCTGTCTATCTATCTATCTATCTATCTATCTATCTATCTATCTATCTATCTATCATTTTTAACATCAAAGTACTTCACAAATTAGGGAAGCCCTCTTGAGCAGCAATGATAATTGTCCCATCTTAAGCTCATGGTAATTGTCCCATTTTAAACTCCAAAATATTTATGGCGGGTAGCTGAGTGACTCTACATCATCTCTTCTCCACTTGCATTTTCCTGTTTTATCATTGTACAGCCTTCCCACTGTCCTGCAATACTCTCCCCAGAGCTATTAGAATCTTCAGCTTCTCTATAAGCTTATCTGCTTATACATCACATTAAAAGACAGGGTTTTTTCTCATATAATAACCAAGAAGGAAACAAATATAAAAAATTTAAGGAAAAGACTAATTCTGAGGTTGACTGGATGAGCTGTAGTCAGTATATATAATATTTTGGAGAATATTATACCATTGACTTGTAAAGTTATCTGTTGAACTCATTTTAAGCTATCTTTCATCTCAAATTTCATCATCTCATCTACTAGAGGGTGACTTACTTGGAAGTCAAGCCTTGAAAACAATTTGTAATTCTGACTATTCTAGGAGATCATACGGAGGCCAGAAACAAATGCAAGGTTTCAAGAGGCACCAGTTTTCACCTTAGGACATGTAAAATTCTCAAACTTCAATATCCCAAGGTCATATTGCATGTCATAGCAAATTTTACTTACCTTAGGCAAAGCAGTGATGTAGATCTTTATTTAAACACACAAATTAATTCACAAAATGTGAAAGTGAAAAGCCCCAGCCTTGATTCACAAAATATCTACAAGATACCCAAGCCAACCCATATATCATTGTGTTTCAGTAAGGTTTTCTATAATTACATCTGTTAACAAATGTAACAAATTCAATTAAAATTTAACTGACAGTGCATTGAAGAAAAACAGGTTCACTTCTATTATGTCAAACACCTTATTTTATGCCATGCATGTTAAGGTTTACCACTCCTTAAGGCTTGCAACTGCAACATTTTAACTGATATCTGGAGGCTTGTAATTGTATGTGTGCACATCAATTATGGATTGGATTCAGCATTTTCAGATAACTTCACCAATCACAAAGAGAGCTCAGTGGTCTCCTGGCATTTTCGGAGCAGTTTGATTACAGGTGTAATACATACAGCCTTGTTAGCTCTCAGTGATGAGGGATTCCCTTCCCTTCTGGGTTCTAGCTGAGGCACTGACCATTGCTTTTCACTAACAATTTCTTTCTGCTCCCAAGAGATGTTTTAATGAGCCCCTCCGACATGGCCAAAGGCAAGAAATGTTCTCTGGGCC